GGGGGACCATATAGGATGCCGGGGATTGAACCTGGGTTGACTGTGTTCAAGGCAAACATTTTCCATGCTGTACTATCGCTCTGGCTCTTGGATGCCCTTTTAATTGTCTCTCTAACGCCTGCCACCCCACCCTCACAGATACAGACGGGCTCAGCTGCCACCATACATCAGAATCACCTGGAGAAGCTAATAAAGATTCAAACCTGAGCTCTGCCCCTGAGATTCCAATTTCCTCTTAGGGGTGGAAATGTAACCTTAGTAACCTGGGAATGTATCTCAAATGTGCTCATGGCCTTGAAGTAGTCCAGACTGTTGTGCAAAATGATATGCTTGGGAATTTCTGCTTCTGTACTCTCCTGCCAGCTGCCTGCGAATGTCCAACCCCACCAGATGTTCTAGAAAATGGAACCCTCGCCTTTGTCCTATTTTGTTTTGTTTTGGGGCCACAACTGGCGATGCCCAGGGCTGACTTCTGGCTCTGTACTCAGGAATCACTCCTGGTGGGCTCAGGGGATCATATGGGATGCCATGGATCGAACAAGACAGACAGAGACTGACAGACAGAGATAGACAGAGACAGAGAGACAGACAGAGAAAGAGATGGGCAGAGAAAGAGAGACAGACAGGGACAGAGAGAGAGACAGAGAGATGGACAGAGAAAGAGACAGAGATAGACAGAGGGACAGAGACAGAGAGAGACTGAGACAGAGAGACAGACAGAGACAGAGACAGAAACAGAGACAGAGATGGACAGAGACAGAGGCAGACAGAGATACAGACAGACAGACAGACAGACAGCGTCTAAGCCAGGCAGCAGCTCAGCCCCTTTCCCTTTGTCCCCTCCATGGCAGCTCTAGGCCTAACTGCTACCAGGGCCCATTATGGTGCACTAAGGTCCCCTGAGAGACAGGGGCCACACTCAGCCCTCCTGAGTCAGGGAATCTGCCCACAGGATCGTGGCGCAGCCCAATGAGCAGAACTGACACAGCGACCCAGTGGTTCCCTCGTGGTTCCAGCACAATCGGGCTCAGCTCTGACCACCCGGGGCAACCCCCAACCCAGAGGCAGGTCTGCCTCCCGGGCTTCTGACTGCCTGCAAGTGGTTTCCTGGTTCCTCTTCCCAGAAGTACTTGAGAGGTGGCGTGAGACCTACAATTAGGACTACAATTAGTCTTCTGTTCTGCAGCCCCATTGGTAACCCGCACTCCTGGGCGTGAGGATGCTGAAAGAATCCTTCTCTGGTTTAACTTCCCCAAGTATTAAAGTTCCTATTGGGGGCTGGAGTGACAGCACAGCGGGTAGGCATTTGCCTTGAATGCAGCCGACCCAGGTTCCATCCCTGGCATCCCATCTGGTACCCCGACACTGCCAGTAGTAATTCCTGAGTGCAGAGCCAGGAGTAACTCCTGAGCATTGCTGGGTGTGACCCCAAAACAAACAAAGTGCTTATTGAACAAACCCATCAAGGGGCCCTTTCTAGGGCACAGCTGGTGCCCTCAGCACATCGCCATCGCCCCACCCCGCCCATCTCCAAAAAATTTTAGCTCTGAAACATTTTAGCTCCTCCAACTAAATATGTTTCCGCAATGCTCACCTATCCCCCCTTCCTCCTCAGTACCCACATTCCTCTTTCTATCTCTGAGGTTGATAATGCATCTCCTGACGCCATGGTGTTCTGGATTTTTGCACCTGGATTGTTTGACTGCACTGTGTTTGCAAGGCTCAGCATCTCGTCAGTCTCTCAGAATTCCCTCCTCTTGGCTGGGGATGTGGCGCCGAGCTGAAGCACACATAGTCATCATGTGTGTGAAGTACAGAGTAGAGTTCCCGTATCATGTGAAGCCCTGGTTTGATCCCTGCTACCCTCCTCCACCAAAAAACATTTTCCTTCATTTAGGGGGTTAAATAACATTTACTGTGGTCATAGGACATTGTGTGTCTCTCTTCGCCCCTAATGACATTTGTTTCCATCTCTGACTACCATGAATCATGCTTATATAAACTCTGGTGTGTTCTGTTGGAGTCTCTGCTTCCAAATCTTGTGTCTATATGTAGAAGTATGAGTGTTGAATCACATGATTACTTTATACTTCATGAGGAATTAGTTAAAAAAAACCTTTAGACTTTGGGGCTTTGTTTTGGGTGTTTTGCTTTGGGAGCCATACCTGGCAGTGCTCAGGGGCTGTTCTGGCTCTGTGCTCAGGAGTGATCCCTGACAGTGCTCAGGGATCCATATGCAGTGCTGAAGATTTGAACCAGGGTCTGCAGGAGGCATGCAAGCATGTTAACTCCTGTACTGTCTCTCCAGTCCCTACTTTTTATTTATTTATTTATTTATTTATTGCTTTTTGGGTCACACCCGGAGATGCATAGGCACAGGGGTTACTCTTGGCTCTGAAGTCAGGAATTACCACATGGAGACCATATAGGACCATATGGGACGCTGGGAATCGAACCTGGGTTGGCCGTGTGCAAGGCAAATGCCCTACCCTCTGTGCTATTGCTCCAGCCTTTCCAGTCCCCTTTTTAACACATTTCCTATTTTAACTGTTTTATATTTTGAGCCATATCCAGCGGTGCACAGGGCTTTCTCCCGGTTCTGCACTCAGGGATCGATCCTGGCAGGCTCAGGAGACCATCTGGGGTGCTGGGGATCCAACCCGGATTGCCCATGGGCAGAGCAAGTGCCCTCCCCACTGACATATTGCTCCTGCCCCTTAAAATGGTTTTTGTGTCCAATACAGTGGCACCAAACTTAAACCTACTTCGAGGGGCTCCCAGGTGGTACTCAGGGACCCCTAGGGGCCACTCCCAGAAGTTCTTGGACAGCAGGTGGTTCAGTGCTAGAAGCTGAGGCTGTGGTGCTGCTCAGGACCTGTGCTGCTGGCCACTAGCCCCACACGCCTAGTACCCACAGGCCTCCGGGGCTATATCTAGTGCTCAGGGAGCTCCAATGCAACGCTGTGATGCTCAGGGGCTCCCAATGCTACATGTGGCAATGCTCAGGGGGTCCATGTGGTGCCATGAATCCAACCTAGGTCACCCTCATACAAAGAATTCTCCCTAAGCCCTGTATACCTCCCTGACCCCTTGAGTTTATTTCATTTTCATCATTATCATCATGGGGACACACTTCATGGTGCTCAGGGGGCCACTCCTGGCACAGGAAGTGACAGGGGATCAAACCTGGGTCCTGCCCACATAAAACATGGGCTCTCCAGCCCCTTCTCAACGTTCCCAAGGCAAAGGGCTCTACCACATTTGAGTGCTGTCAGGTTTCGGCATGTGTCACAAGCTCCCGAGTCCTTAGACTCTTCCCCTTCCTCCTGCTTGCCCCCCACCGCACCCCACCCCGTGCTCCTTCTGATGCCTCCCTCAAAGCTATCAGGACAGCACAACCAAGTATCAGCCCGGGTAAGCACTGCAACTAAAGTGTGCAGCCAGCCCTGCTCATTGCATCAGCAAGAACAAAGCGAAAGGAAGAGGAAGAAGAGTAGAAAGGATAAGGAAAAAAGCCAGGGCAGTACTGAGCCTTTGTGACCATCTTTAGTAATGGTCTCATTTTTCAGTAATTTTTAACTAATAACTGACTAATTTTTCAGCATTTTGTGTGGCCTTCCATGTGAAATGGCTACCTCTGTGCAAAATGAAAGATGGGTAGCAGACCCCAGTTGCTGATGCCCCAGGAGAGGCTCAGGCCGGCACTGTGGCCCATATTCCCAGTATGTTGTTCGTTTGGGCGGGACCCCCCCTCCCCACTTCCGCCTTGTCATCTGTCAGTGAGTCAGCCCCACTGCCCTCAAGGCATGGGCCCTGCTCCCTGCCCTGGGACCCTCATTCTGACCAGCATTAGCAAGTATACAGGGGCTATATTGCTATAGCCCCGTGTCTAGCCCCGCCTCTCCTGAGGCCTGACATGTGCTGTTCAATAGTTCCCTCACAGATTATTCCAGGGAATAAATGGTCTGATGATAAAAATGTAGGTTCCTGGGGCTGGAGAGAGAGCACAGCAGGGAGAGCGTTTGCCTTGCACACAGCTGACCCCGGTTTGATCCCTGGCACCCCGTGTGATTTCCTGAGCACCACTAGGAGTAATCCCTGAGTGCAGAGCCAGGAGTAAGCCCTGAGCATTACTAGGTGACATCCCCAAACAAAACAAAACAAAAAATATGTTCCCGGGCCAGAGAGAGAGAGAGAGAGAGAGAGAGAGAGAGAGAGAGAGAGAGAGAGAGGAGCTGGTCAGACACTTTGCAAGCAGCTGACCTGGGTTCAATTTCTGGCACCACATCTAGTTCCTGACGTTGCTGGGAGTGACCCCTGAGCACAGAGCCAGGAGTAATCCTTGAGCACCACCAGGTGTGGCCTAAGAACAATGTTCCTGAGGGTTGGAGAGATACCGCAGCAGTTAAGGCATTTTCCTCTCGTGCAGCTGACCCGGGTCAGATCCGGGACACTATAAGGGCCCCCCAAGCACTGCCAGGAGAGTTCCCTGGGCACAGAGTCGGGAGGAAGCCATAAACACCGCGGGCTGTGTCCTCCCCCACCGCGCCCCGCCAAGAACAAAGCCTATTCCCGAAACACATATCTCTGCCTGGCACGGGAGAAGCCTGGGCACAAGGGCACCTGGAGGCGGATGGCAGGCACCAGTTGGCAGGACTCGGCCGGCAGGTGGCTGCCCAGAAGCAGTCAGAGCCACATCCTGGGGCCCCGGTACGCCAGGGGCCAACTCCATCTCCTCTCTATTGACCTCCCGAAGAACGTTCTGGGGCTGGGGCCTGAAAAGAGAGTGGGTTCAACTCTGCCACCGCCCTGCAGGCCCCACCTCGCCCCGGAAACGCCTCTTCACCGCAGCAGTGACCACATCCCCCGGGTTGCCTTGGAAACACTCCATGGGGGCAGGGGACTTGGGGCGCCGTTGCCCAACGACACGGGGCGCCCTCCCTTCCGTCCTCATCGAGGAGACCGCCCTGAGCCCTCCGGCCTGCGCTGGAAGAGCAGCTCTGAGGAGCGCGGGCCGGAGCCGCTGCGGCAGGGCCTGGGCGGGGACAGCAGCGTGGACAGGCCTCGCTCAGGGGCCGCAGACAGCGAGAACGACCCAGAGCAGGGCTGTGAGGTAAAGGCACGTCCCAGGGGCGGCTGAGGGGGCTTCTCACACCCACCGCAGCCCTGGGTAAGCGGGGGGCTAGGCTGAGGCGGGCCCCTCTCTGGGCGCTTAAACTTCCTGTTCTCTCCGGGGTCCCTTTGTGCCTGTTTCTCCGGCAGGTAGCCGGCCCCTCCCCACCCCAGGGCGTTGTGCAACACTCCCTGATCTGTGCCCCCCCAACCCCCCACCTCCTCTGCTTCTTCCCTTGGCAGATGCCTGGCACTCCACAGCCGCCGTCTGGCCACATGGAAGGGGCCCCCACGTCGGAGTCGACCCCGTGGCCCCCGCTGCCCTGCGGGCCCTGTATCCCCATCATGCTGGCCCTGGCGAGCCTGGCCGCCCTCTTCCTCCTGATGACAGCCGTGTTGGCCGAGCGCCTGTTCCGCCGTTCTCTGCGTGCAGCCCCCAGGGAGCTGGCGCCCACCCTGGTGTGGCGCCCCGGTGGAGAGCTGTGGATCGAGCCCACCGGCACCGCCCGGCAGCGCTCTGAGGACTGGTATGGCTCCGTGGTCCCCCTGCTGACCGAGAGGGCCCTGGACCCGCCTAGCCCCGGAGGTACCTTAGAGCTCAGAGCCACAGCGCCCCCGGACCCCTCAGCCCCACACCTCCTTCCCAGGCCCTCGGCCCCCCAGGTCCCACCCAAGGCCCCCAATGGTAGCACCTTCTGGGGGCCCCCAGCCTGGAGGGCCAGGCCCCATGGCCCCGGTCTGGTGAGCTGGACAGAGCCTGCCCCGCAGCCAGAGACCAGCACCCACGTGGGGAGCCCCCCGCCCTGGAGGCCGCGGCCAGGCAGCCCCGAGCCGGACTGGAGTCTCCAGCCCCGGGTCACCCAGGAGCAGATCTCGGCTTTCTGGAGGCGTGAAGGCCGCACCAGCATCGGGTTATGAACCCCCCGGGATCCAGGGGCCTGACTCCTCCACCCAAGACCAACTTCAGGCCCCAGGCAGGCTCGTGGCAGCCGCCTGAGGGCCCAGGTAGGTGCTCAAACCTTTGACATGTCAGGCCTCGGCACTGGGTGTGGCTGGCTGCATGTGGACTGGGCCTGTGGCTGCAGGAAGATCCCAAAGCTGCGTCTGCTTGGCGGCTCTGTGGGCAGAGAACTGGACCATGTGCTGGCTTGGGGCCAGGAGACACCAGGATTATGCTCCAGATTAAGAATTCAAAGTGCCAGGCAGGCCGGAAATAGCATCCAAACCAGCCTTCCCTCCCCCCGCCCCCCACGCTCTCTCCTGCCTCCCGGTGAAGGGGCACAGGCGGGTGTTGAAGACCAGACTCTGGGGGTCACCTGAGCCAGCTGAGCCCACTGGAGGAGACGGGCATCCAGCCGCCCAGAGCTCCAGGTCATCTCTCCCGGAAAATGCGGGAAGAAAGGGCAAGACCAGGCCGAGGACCGTTTTGTTACACTTACATGGCATCTCTGACCCCCACTCGCAACAGGGAACTTGGTGGCCACACTGGTGGGGGGGCTCCCCTGCCTGGAACCGGGACCTCCTGTCCGAAGACCCCTAACTGCTCTTCAGGGCCACATGCCAGCCCTGGGCATCTTTTCTCATGGCATGGGAGGCATAGGAAAGTCTGAGCTGTCCCAGCCGCCGCAGCTGCCCAGTCAGCCTGGTCACCTTCCAGCCCAGGACAATCTTACTTATAATGCAATGGCCTTGGCCATGGCCTCTGGGTCAGCTGACCTCCTTCCAGAGGAAAGCCTGACATCTCCCAAACATCTCCCAAACCCCAGACATCATTTTAGGAATTTTGCTGGGTTTTCACTGTGCTTTTGTTACTTTATATTGTTTTCCCTTCTGTTTAGGTTCCTATTTGCTTAATAAATTGATTTCAAAAGGAATCTGTTTTTTGTATCAGCTTCTGTAAACGGAAAGTCATATCACTGGCCTTAAATAGAAGGTTAAACATGAAATTAATACAATGTAAACAGAGATATCCAGTTCTAAGTAGAAGGTGTTCCTGCTAGAGGCGCCGATCCAGCAAAGATCTGATTTTCAGTTTGTTAAAAGAAAAAGGATGTTAAAAAGACATTGTGAAGATCATTTTACAATGTATAAAAAGGCCCTGAAATGAAAATAGTGTTCTTTGTCACTAATGAAATCAATGTTCTATGCCAATTATTCTGTAAAGGGAGGGAGGGGGAGACAGCACAGGGGGTGAGGGGCTTGACTTGCAAGATGTTCCCCAGAATAGCACCAGGAGGGGCTGGAACAATAGCACAGTGGGTAGGGCATTTGCCTTGCACTTGGCCAACCCGGGTTCAAGTCCCATATGATTATCCCATATGGTCGCCGGAGCACCGCCAGGAGTGATTCCTGAGTGGAGAGCCAGAGCATCGCCGGATGTGACCCAAAAAGCAAAAAAAAAAAAAAAAAAAAAAAAAAAAGAATAGCACCAGGAGTGACCCCTGAGAAAGATCTGGAAATGTGGGACTGGAGTGATAGCACAGTGGGTAGGGGCATGTGCATTGCACGTGGCCAACCCAGGTTCTGTTCCCAGCATCCCATATGGTCCCCTGAGTACCGCCAGGAGTAATTCCTGAGTGCATGAGCCAGGAGTAATCCCTGAGCATTGCTGAGTGTGACCCAAAGAGGAAAAAAAAATGCTTCCAGCATCTCTTGTGGGTGGAGGTGTTGACTGTGGGGGCTTAAGTGATGTGAGATAAAACTGGGCCAACTCACCACACTGGAGTCCTGGGTTGCTGTCCCATCTGTTCCTCCTCACTGCCACCATCTGCTGTCGGGGACCAGGAGTGACGTGCAATGTTCAGAGGTTAGGTACCTGCATGCTAAACGCTCAGCAGAGTCAGGGCGGGGGGGGGGGGGGGGGGGGAAGGACACAAAGACCCTGTTGTGTCATTTGTTTACAGAAAAAGTGACTCGTGTTCATTACTGTGCCTCATGCTCTTACTCTGTATGAGAGTTGAACCTCAAACTAGGGCCAGAGAGTCCAGTGGGTAGGGCACTTGTCTTGCATGTGGCTGACCCAGGTTCAATTCTTGGCACCACCAGCAGCATTGACTCCCTGCCAGGAGTAACCCTGAGAATGACACAAGATAGGAAGGAAGGAAGGAAGGAAGGAAGGTAGGAAGGAAGGGAGGGAGGGAGGGAGGGAGGGAGGGAGGGAGGGAAGGAGGGGATGAAGGAAGGGAGGACAGACACAGGCATGGGGCAGCATGACCCTCCTGTGCCCCGGGTTCAGTGTGCTCCTGTGCTCCTGGACTCTGGACGTGGTACCAAGCACAAGAAAGACCAACAGAGAGAGAGGAAAAAAAGAGGACTCACGCACTTCCCCTTTCCCCATTTGCTTTAATTTTTCTTTATCTGGGTGGAGCTCCCCTGCAAAGGAAACACTGTGTGGAGGCATGCTCAGCCAGCCATGCCCGCCAACCCTGTGACTTAACCCCTGGCCCCAATTATTTTTCAAACTCACCATCTTCTTTCTATTTTTTAATTTTCTTGTCTGGGAGCCACAGACAACGATGCTCGGAGGTTACTCCTCGCTCTGCACTCAGGAATTACTCATGGTGGTGCTTATGGGGGAACATATGGGATGCCGGAGATCAAACCCAGGCTGGCCATGTGCAAATCAAGCACCTACTCACTGTTCTATTGCACTGCCAGTCCCTCCTTTCTATTTTTTTTTTAAAAACTTTGTTGGTTTAGGGGCTGGAGCGATAGTCCAATGGGGAGGGCGTTTGCCTTGCATGGGGCCGACCCAGGTTCAATCCCCGGCATCCCATATGGTTCCCTGAACACTACCAGGAGTAATTCCTGAGTGCAGAGCCAGGAGGAACCCATGAGCATCATTGGATGTGACTCAAAAAGCCAAAAAAAAAAAAAAACCTTGTTGGTTTGGCCACACTGAGTGGTTCTCCTAGTGGCTGCCCCCCCGTACCTGGGGTTCTAATGCTCAAGGGACTAACAAGTGCCATGGGTGGATCCCAGGCCTCCTGCATGCAAAGCTATCTCCCCACTCCTATCTGCTCCTTCCCAACACCACGTCAAAGCTTCCTGTGAGGTCTTTGGCTGTCTGAGGCAGCCACAGACCAACACCAGGTCCCCAGAGCCCCTTAGCACAGTTTCAGTGTGGGTGGGTCATCTGCCCTCATCCGGGACACATGGTTCCTCTTGGGGGTCTCATACGGGCACTGTGAACCCAGTTTCAGCTCTCAGGGAACCAAGCAACCAGATTTCGGGATGTGATCCTCTCAAGGGGGCCAGTGGCGCCCCAAGATCGTCAGGCCTGCACTGTGTCCTTTGTTCTTTTTATCTGGGCATCCAGATGGTGTAAATTTGAATCACAAATTCAAGCAGCAGGAAACCCCTTGGTCAGGATTCTCAGAGGAGACTCAGTCTTTGCTTCCAGATCTTAGGATTCTTAAGACAGACAAGATTCTTGTTTAATTTGTTTTGGTTTCAGAGTGGGGGACGTTTGGGACCGCTCCCAGCGGTGCCCCTGGATCATTCCCATAGGTGCTCAGAGAGTGTTTGTAGGGCAGAAGAGCCTTAAGCCCTGTACTCTCTCCTGCCCCAAAAGACCAGACTCGCTGTGCTCCCCTGGGGTGAGGTTGGATCGTCTGGGCTCCTCTCTCCACATGGACTGTTTCCATTAGGCCTCAGTTTTCACCTACCCTGTCTTATC